CTCAAACTGCAAAGTCACGACAACTGCGAAGCCGAGGCCCCCCCAGTCCCTCCGAGGATGTTGGCTTTGGATAATTTGGATGTTTCGAGGTTAGGGTTTGGATTTCCAACTACCAGGACCCCTCTAAAGACCACACCAGAAACCTAGCGCTTTAAGCCTTAAGCCCTGAAATCCTGAAGCCTGGGTTGCCGTTCTGGGTCCGAATGCTGTGCGAGTCGTCCCGTCTGAACCTGGGACTTGTCTAGACCCTAAACCCCAAGCCCTATAGGCCCTAGGTAGATCCCCAAGAAACAGCCTCTTCCTCGCAGGGTGTTTTCGTGACGATGTGCACCCTACATCTCCGACTCTCTCGATGCCCGATAAACCGTAGTCGCATCTTTTTAACCCCGAAGCCCTAAAGCCTGTGAGCTCAAACCCTAAAATCTTGAGCCGGGTGCTCTACTAAGATTCCTACAACTCCGAAGCTCCGTAAAGCTACACATGTAATTTTTTGAACACCTAACCGCTTGCCCACACCCTGAACCCACGAAACCTGACAATCTTCGACCCAGGAGGCATGTAAGCCCATACACTCCGTAACCCGACGCCCATAAAGTGTAAAGCATTATAGAACCCCTTATAGTTATAAGACCCGATAAAGCAAGGCCTGTTTATGTAAGTCGTGATAAAGTCCTTGTGACGCCGAGGTGCTGAAGGCCATGGGACCGCTTGCTGGAGCCTTCGAAGGCTTGCGGGGTGAGTGCGGGAAACTTCCGGAATAAGAAAGGGTGATTTTGGGGATGCTTTTTACGGAAATATATTGCGCAGGGATCGTACCAGTTCTTCGGACCTCTGTCTATGCTTTTCGAGCTTGGGACGTCTTGGGGTTTCGAGGTTGGAGCTACAGTGCAAAGGCCAACAGGCCCTTGAGCGCTCAGGCTCCAATCTGGAGCCAGGTCTACACCCGTAAAGAATTGCTGGGCTTAGGAGTCACAAAAAACCACCCTGTGCCGGGAACTGCAAGGCGGAGAGCCCTAGCCGCGACAAACCCTTTAGACAAGAAGAGCTCAGCGAGAGCTGCAAGCTTCTTCGCAAGGTGAGGTGGTTTTTGCATCCAAAAATTGGACTACGGCCCAAGCTCGGGTTCCAAGGAAGCTTAGCACTGGTGGTTTTCACGGTGACTTCAGAGATGCCTTCGTCGTCGCTTGCGTGGTCGGATCCCCCACCTTTCTTCTCCCACAAAGTGCGGGATGGGCACGGGGAATCGGCTTTTGTTCCAAGAGATGCCGGGACTTCACTTTCAACATCTGCTTCCGATGTCGGACAGCCCGGCAGAGCGAGATCGTTATACACCGCTTGGTGTCAGATGCGCGCGCTCTTCACGCCGACGCCGAGGGGGGTCTCCACGGTGTGGGATGCCGGCGGCATCCCACACTGTGGAGACCTTGCTGCTCGTCGCTGTCGGCGTGAAGACTGGCAGAGCGGGATCGTTTTACTGCGCTTTCACACCGATGACCAGCGAGGTCTCCACGGTGTGGGACGCCGGCTTCGAGTTCTTCTTGCAGCCCCCGTCCTTTCCGCCACCGTGAGGCAAGAGCGGCCCGAGAATGGCCCCGAGTTGCATTGGACCAACCCTGGCGGGCCAGATCCGCCAGCAGAGGTAGCACCTCCTGCCGTGGAGCTTTCGATTGAAGATGCTTTCTGGAAGGCGGCCAAGCTCTCTACAGTTTCGAGTTCATGGCGCGAGGAAGGGTTGCCGGATGCTCCCAAAAAGGTATCCGAAATATCGGACCCTCTCGCACCTACAGTGCTGCCTCGATTCTTAGCAGTACTCTGTAGGTGCGGGAGAGAACACTGCGATCTGCCGTCGTCGTACTCCGTTTCCGAGCAGCGGGCACTGCCGTGAGCACTGCTCATCCCAATGGTGCGGGCCATGCAGCAGTTGTTGCAAGGTCACTCTTTGTAAGTTGATGTCTCCTTCTCAACAAAGAGTAATAGGTCAAAGCCGATCCATGATAAGTGTATGCGGCGGGACGTAGCTTGCCTGCTGCTGCTTCAAGGAGGCCATGGGATCCTTCTTTGATCATCACTGGTGATCGAAAAAGGATCCCAGGGCCTCCTTGAAGCGGCAGCAAGTGCCCGAAGCTTGGTCAGCGTTACAGGGATCCTACAGCATCCTGCTTGCTCGGTGGGGAGTTTATCAGCATAAGAAGGATCTGCTTTCCCCCTGCTTCACTACAAGGACCACGGAACTGCTCCAAAGCCGTTTGTGAAACTCAACGGCCAGACTTTCTGCTGTTGGCGCAGACCGCTCCGTAAATGTATTGGATGTCATTGCCGGCGCAAAGCCTGCTGGCGTGTGGCAGGGTTACTCTGCGATGCAGACACGGAGCCTAGCACACGCCGCAGTCATTGCCGTCGCTCTGGGGCAGGTCGCAGGAGCCTTCAAGACACTTCTTCTTTTGGGAAATGCTGCCCTGCAGCCGATGGGAATGTGCAGGAGTCCAAAAGGAGACGCCACATTAGGAGCCTACAATAGTGCACGCGGAGATGAGTTCTTTGCGTCGATCCCCTGGACAGTAACAAGCCCACAGTCCTTGATCGTTACGAGGCCTTGGTCCCTGCTGCAGCCGGCACTGACAGCCCTGACGCAAAGCTGCGAGGCTGAGGGGTTCAAGGTCGGTTTGAGGGTCATTGGGGTTTTCGTCCGTTTTATTCGGACAGGTCTCAGGACGGGAATAGGGCTTTAGGTCGTATGTGGGTTTGGGTTTTTCACACAATGAGCGCAGGGTGCAGGCTTTACATGAAGAGTTCAACTCCAGCTGCAAGCATGTTCTATAAAGGTAGAGCAATCCTAAATGGCCTACGGCTCAAGCTGGAGCTCAGAGGTAGCCTAGCAGTGCTTCTGGGTTTGCTTTCACGACGACTTCGATCGAAGATGCCTACACCCTCCCTTGGTGGTCGGGAGCCACCGGTCGACAAAGTTGCCGGAGATCCGAGGACTTCCACAACGTCTGAGTCCGATTTCTACACCGCCTGGTGTCGGATGTATTCGTACGAGCTCTTCACACCGAAGACCAGCGAGGTCTACACCGTGTGGGATGCCGGCTCCTTTCACCCACCCCCTCCTCCGCCTCCTCCGCCCCGGCACCGACGTTCTTCGCTCTGGGATGT